GTCTTGTAATATAAATGTTGTCCACCTCCCTTCTTCACAGGTCTAGAGCAGTTAAAGGAAATGTAATTTCTTTAGGCTGTCACATAAATGTGAATTGGGCCAACAATTTCAGTTCGTCCTTTAGAGAATTAGAGGATTTGGCTACCCCTGGATATATATTTATATTACTTTCTTCTACTCTCTTTAATGTTAACCTTCTTTTACTAAACTGAAGTGAACAGCAAGGAAAGAAGGGTCCAAATGCATACGTTTCTTTGCACTCTTGCACCGTTCTACCCACTTAACACAAATAAACATTTTAAAAGCTTTTGTAGTAAGTTTTTATGAGTTAATATCCTAATGTGGTAGATATTAGGTAATGTGCTGTCCTGAGAAAAATTGAGACCTGCAAGAAGACTGGAGATTAAGTAAGGGTTGGTTTGGGGGCAGTATAGGGGCTGCTGCAATTCCTTCCTTGAAAAACAGGATGGAGCTATTGGAATGTCACAGAAGCCCAAGCAGCAGCTTCAGAGCTAACGCCTTGGTTCTACGATCAACTGCCTCTTCGACTCCAAATCAAAGCTGGACTTGGATACATCATTTGTAATGTTCCAGGCAAAAAAAAGTCTTGTTGTGAAAAACTATTTCAGTTTGGGTAAAATGAAGCCACCATAGTTCTTTTCTATAATACTGTGTAATCCAGTGGTGGTGGTAATAGTGGTCATAGGTAGCAAATATAACCTTGGCCTGGAATTTGTGGCAGTTGCCAAGAGGTTCTGCTAAATGGTCCTAATAAACCTGTTCATAGACTCCTCCTTATTTGTGCTTTGTTCATCATTGGGGGCACCATGATCTAGGGAAGTGGTTCTTGATTCTGGCTTCCCATTAGAAACAAAAAATACCAATACCTAGGTGCCCCTGCCACAAGATTCTAGTTTAGTTTGGAATATAGCCTAGGCATAGGGATCTTTAAAAGCTTCAGCTAATTCTCATGTATAACCATTGTTGAGAACCATTGGTTTAGAGGTTAAAAACTAGATGGATACAAAAGGCCTGAAAAATCTTCGCTCTGCCATTAACTCGCTGTAGGTGTTTGGACAAATCATTTAACCCATAGGCTCCAAGGTCTCTCAACAGCTCTCTTCTAGCTGTGAAATTCTCTGATTATAAGGATCACAAGGGTTTGGTCTGAGCATAAAAATTCTATTTGTCTCTGTATTTCTTCTCTTCTTATTTCTTTACGGAATGTTCTAGAAGTATTAGATATAGCATTCTCTCTTCAAGTGAATTAAAACTGTAGTACTGTATAGAGTAAAGTAGAAATTTCAGGCTGGCTTCTTTATCTAAGAATGTTCCAGAACAAGAACTTAATAGCTGCTAGACTGATGCTCCCAGGATAGGTTGGTTTGTTTGTTTTCTGTTTTGTTAAGGGGTGGTGATACAATGCATCGTACCATTGGGCAAAAATATCAGAATGAAATTACCATTCAGTCAGTGCAAAGTAAAACACCCTGAGCCGCCTCCATTCCGTTTTGTTTTGTTTTTCTTCTGTTCAAAGGCTGTCGTCAGTCATGGGAATGAAGCTTTTGCTTTTGGTCACTAAATGCAGACCAAATCCAACTCAGATTTCAGTCTATCCTGTTTCCTAGGACTAGGAATCACCTGCTTCCTCCTGGGTTTTCTAAGCATGTTTAGTGTATCTCTAGGTTTCAAAGAATTTTTCAGTATTGCCTTTCAGGCCTACAAAACACAACTAGTTTAGAATCTCCATTTAACCAGGAAATAGTTTGAAAGGTTTTGATTCCCAACCCCTGATCCTACTTTTAGGTCAACTGAGTAGTTTATTCTAATACTTATCCAAAATGAAATTTGATTGACAAAGTAGCATTTAATTTTTAAAGATAAACTTGAAATAATAGAATTTTTAATGTTGGACTGTGATTAAGGACCGAATTTTTACCAGTCCATGGAAAAATGAGAAAAATGATGTAGTGGTCTTTTTAAAGCACCGTCTTTGAGGCTGAGCTAATGACCTCCCAACTTTTTTAAAAGTGTATTTCAAGATTATGAAAATGAAAAGGCGATGATGTTAGCTGGAAGTCTTCATTTTGAAATTTCCTTAGTTGGCAAAATAAAAGTTGACATTCCTGTATTTTTTTCCCTAGTCCATGACATCTGTAATGTGTGTGAACCTCTCATCTAGCCTAGCTCCATCACTTTACAACTGAAGAAGTTGAGGCTAGGAATGGCAGGCAGTCTGATAGAGCAGCGGTTCTCAACCTTTTTGGCACCAGGGACCAGTGCTCTTATGAGAATCTAATGCCTGATGATCTGAGGTGGAGCTGAGGCAGTGATGCTAGTGCAGGGGAGTGGCTGCGAATACAGATGAAGCTTTGCTGGCTGCCTGCTGCTTACCTCCTACTCTGTGGCCTGGTTCCTAACAGGACACGGACTGGTACTGGTCTGCAGCCCAGGGGTTGGGGACCCCTGTAATACAGGAATTCAAAGGCTTGAGGAAGTATTCTATGTGTGAATGGTCATTTGTGGGATAATATTTGAGCTCTTGCTACCAACATTTTATTATGCAAAATGTTAAATATTTTACATTTTACATTTCTTATTATACCCACAAAACCATATAGGAGATATATTTTTCTTGTCCCCTTTTTATGGTTTAGGAAAACGAGGTATAGTAAGTTAGTAACCTGCTTTGGGCACACAATTCAGGAGTGATGGGGCAAGGATTTGATCTCAAGCACTCAGGCTTTAAAACCACACCTTTAGACACTATATACTATCTCCATGTATCACTGACACAAACTCTTGCTCACCACCTCTTTCATGAATATTTCTCTAAAAACCTAGAGTAATAACAATGTCTACCCAACTTTTCATGAACATCTTTTCTTCCATCAGTACCTTGTAAACTTTTCGTTAACCACCCTGCTAAATGGAACCTCCTGCTTGTACTCTCTGTACACATACAATTTTTTTTTCAATGTCTCCATTTGATTACTCATATATCAAAGATGTTTTAAGAAAGTTTTCTGACATCAATATGCTCCAGTACCTTTAGGTTCTATTCTAAAGAAGTCTCAATGTCTAAGAAATTAATCTGTCTTTGTTGAGATACCAAAATCCAAAGACCGCTAGCCTATCAGTCTTATCATTTCAAACAGGTGAGGGTCTAGACTGCTGTCCTTCAGTTTGCTGATCTATACTGACATCACTGGTGCTCAAACAAAGAGCATTTTGCTTTATAAGGTCTAAGCAAGTGTAAGGTGTCATTACATCACAAGCCAGTGTGAATATCAGCTGTGCTGGAAACAGGGACATGGCCAAGGACTAAAGAATTAAAAGGGTAATATTATAGCACTAGGTTTGTTGTGTGTATAGGTAGCGATAGAAGAGGTTAAATAATGGACCGCACAGAGAAGCTGAAAAATTGAAAGGCAAAGTTGACATAGATGGTGTAAGGTCACACATAGCTAGAAATGGCTTCAACACCACCTCATGCCTGAAACAGGCATTGAACCTCAAAGGCCTGCATAATCTCTGTAGATAAAAGTACCTTATTATTTTCTGTTATACTCAAAACACTAATTCTCAAGAATTGTCCTTGTGCTCATAGGAGAGAATGATAGCCTGTTTTCTTGAAACCAAGTTTAGAATTTGAATTTTCCACATAAGCCTAGTCTTTGGAATCACAAGACTGGAAAGGAGGATATTAACAGGTTATTTGATAAGTGATATGATCAGTTAACATCCTTGCTGGATAAGTTTATTGTACTTTTGAAGACCGGAAGGAAAAGTGATTCTCCTACCTGTTTAAAGAGTTGATACTTTTAAAATCCAAGTTAATATTATGTTGCAGTTAAAACTTGATCCCCGATGATGTCAATAAGGGCAAAATCTTTTGAACAAGCTGGTGTTCAATTTAAAATCTAGAGGACCAATAACGGAATCAAAAGAAATAACTTCATCATAGAAGGAGATAACTTGCTGTGCAGTGCCTCTTTCTCGGTGAACAATAATTTTGCAGTTATTTTCTTTAAAAAAAAAAAATCAGATAATTCATGTTTTCTGCAAAAGTGAAAAAGTGTTGGGCATCAGTTGCATGGTAACAAATATGACTGTACTAACATCTAAATGTGAGAAAGTGGTGATTAAAGAGCATGGCCTTTGGCATCATACGGATTGAGGTTTGAATCTCACCACACGTTCTAGGGTGAGGTTGGACATCTCAATCACTGAGCTTCCCCTTAGGGATCATAATTTCCTATCTCAAGAGTGTTATGAGGGTTAAATGAGATGATCCATATAAAATACATACTTGCATGCAATAGACTAAGCCATTACAAAGAGACCCTCCTGGTCTCTTTCAGTCAGTTATTGGCCTAAGACAGGCCTGAATCCTGATGCTTCTGTTCACCATCTAGTCACCATGACCAAAATTGAAAAATCCAAAGGTGCCACAACGTGAATAACCGTTTCATTCACACACATTGAAGATTTGGACACTTGCCCTCTGACTGGATCCTTCCCTGGCTTCAGCTTATACAGAGTTTTCATAAACACTAGATTTCCAGATAATTTACAAAAGCCCTCAAAGCCCAGTTTTGGATTAGGAAGGGAAAGTGAGTGAGGTTAAGCAGCTCTGCTGAGAAGAGCCAGAAGAACAGAATGAGTGACCACGCCAGTGTCCTATGCTTTGCGCTCTGGCTCCTCTCCAGATTGGAGCGTAGGCTGGAACGAGACTAGAGCGGCAATAAAGATTTAGGAGCCCTGGAGCATGTTTGCAGGAGGACGAAGGGGAAGATCGATACCCCTCCTTACAAGCCCCTTTTACTCAGATACTTCCCGGCCAAAAAAGCCCTAGTCTCCGGAGACTCTTCAGAGAAAGCCAACTGTCTCAAACACCGAAAGAAACCTTAACACCAGATCCTAGTCTCCACTGCCACTAATAACGCCGTGTATGTGCGTGCCTGCGTGCGCTGCGAGCGCGCACGGGCGCGCGCGTACGCACAGGCTACTGGGATGCCGCCTTTCCCCTCTGGGTCTTCCAGTTTCCCGGCATGCTTCAGGCCCGCCAAATGGGAGGGGGAGACACAAGATGGCGGCAGCCGCGAACTCCGGCTCCAGCCTCCCGCTGTTCGATTGCCCGACTTGGTGAGTGGCGGGGCAGCCAGGGCTGGAGTTGCCTGGCTTAAGCTGGCCTGGGCTGGCTGGGCGGCTCATTTTTCGCAGCGAGCGGAACGCCTCAGAGACCTTGGGACTGATTGAGGGAGAACTGTCCGTCGGGCCGGCGGCGTGTGGAGGAACCGGGAGTCTGAGTCCGGGCCCAGGCACTGAGGAAACCCAGAGTTGGGGGGCTCTGAGGCGCTTGCTTAGGCTGCCCCACAGGCACTCAGCCGGTTGCTGGGGCGCTTCGGGCCGTGGCCCTGAACTTACCCCAACTCCTGACTGAATGCCTGGTGCTCTTGTGGAGCATCGTACCTGCCCCCCGTCTCTCTGTCCCGAGCGCGCACGAGCTAGCTTCCCGGCCCTGGCCGAACCTCAGAGACCAGCATCCCTCTGTTTTGCTCCTTCCTGGTCCCGTACTTGTTTGTCTTTCGCATACTGGGAGCCCCCTGAGGGCAGGGACGGCTCTGACCTACCCCTGCATTCTCAGCGACCAGCGCGAAGCCGGGCACAAGTGGGCACCAGTTATTGCTGGAATGAACCCCTTGCATCCTTTTGCAAGTTCTTGGGAATAATGGAATAATTTAATTTAGTCTTTGGGTAGGGTACAAGATGAAAAATTATGAATTGCCTTGCAAGGAGATCCGTCTGAGAGCTATTTCTGCTGTAACTCATCACAGTGTATTTATGTGTTACTCTTCTCTGCCTCCCATTATATTGAGATTCTCAAGGGTAAGGGTTGTATGATGCATCTTTATATTCCCAGCTTCTTGGCCTAGGGCGGGCACATAGTAGGAGTTCAGAAAACACGTTTTGGATGTAACATTGCTTTCGCGTTTCCCGGACAAAATGGGTTTTTGTCCAATCCACTGTCTTTTCAACAACTGCCATAGAGGAGTTGGGCAAGATTGTGAGATGACTATGTTGCATCTTCAATTAGATGGACGGATAAAATTTTTTTTGTGTGCAAATGTAGGGGCTCTGGCAAGATCCTTCTTTTTTTCAAACTTCAAAGCACCAAACACAGGAAGCAAGTGAACATATGGCTATTTTCTGGGTCCCTTTGCACTTTTGTAATACCCAGTTGCTTCAGTCTACAAATTTTGTGTCCATTTTGGTTCCTTACTGCATTAATTTCAGAAGTTGAACCAGGGCAGTAAACTTATATTTAGAAGAGGCTGTTGGAGATCACCTTACATTTCCTTAGAGACTGCTATGCACCAGGCACTGTGTTATGTGCTTTGACATATGTGTATCCCCCTTGAATGCTATGGTTATAGGAGTATCGAGGAAAGTTCCCTTAAACATGCCATTGTAGAAAGAACTGTTCAAGGATAATAAATACGTCTTGTATTTGTTGGTACCTGGTTTCATGGGCATGATACTGGATTGCTCTGACTTCCTAATTATGTACCTCTGATTTGGTCTCAGAGCTCAGGACAGTACCCTCTGTTTATTCTTTAATGAGACTAATCTTGATCAACCCTAAACACCAACTGATTTATTCAGCCTTTATATGGTATTAGTGGTAGTGGCAAAGCTTAGATTCAAACTCAAGTGATCAGACTACCCAGCTATAATACTTGCACTCTCTCTATGCTGCTTTCTTTCTGAGGTAGATATCAGTGTTAAAATATAGGTTTCTTTGGTGCTGCTCTAAATACAGATCCACTAAAATCTGGTTTAAAGCAATTGAATCACTGGGGAAGTAAGTGTCAAACTTAGAAAGGAGCTGTAATAACAGTAAAGTAGATGACATTTCTGCTTGAACATGAACTAATTATAGGCTGGTAAGAGAGCTGCACTGTCGAATAGGACAATGATTGTAAATGGCATTTACAAACTCATTATGAAAATGCTTTATTCACTCTTTTTCAGGGCAGGTAAACCCCCACCTGGTTTACATCTGGATGTAGTCAAAGGAGACAAACTAATCGAGGTATGGAAATGCATGTCTTTCTTTTTTCCTATCACACTAAAGATTTTACCAGTGACTCACTTTTCCACCCCCTCTCCTGTGCTTTGTTTTCCAGCAATGCTACTTTCGTTCATCCTGATATTTTTTTCTATTAAAAGCACATGGTGATATAACACATTCAAACCTCTTATTTCCCACAGACACCCAGTTTTTGTGACTTTTCTCACCTTCCAAATGAAGGGTTTAATAGATCATGGGCCTATGCACCCCAGTCAAACTGGAAGCCCTATAACTTGGTGAAATCCCTGTCTGAGTACATGAAGTTCTGTAGAAGGTGCAAGATAAGCAATAACTGAAGAAGAAAGTGAATGATGTAGATCGAGTTTAACTTTTAAGTTGCTTTTATGATATTCAGGCCCAGGACCTTTAAAGATGATAATAAACTAAGACGTTTGCTCAAAAAAGAGAATAGAATGGTGATAAAATTCATTCATTTATTCAAAACATTTATTGAGTGCTTATTATGGGCCAGTCATTGTGCTCAGCATAGGGCTACAACAGTGAACAAAATGTGGTTCCTGTCCTCAGCTCCTCTGGTGGAAAAGACAATCAAACAAAAAATTACAAGGTGATAATTGAAATAAGTACTGTAAAGGAAAAGTTTAGCAGAAGTCCAGGTTTTATACAAGTCTCTAGAATGAATACCACCTAGAAAGAACTACAAGAGAACATAAATTTTGATTAGCTATTAGGGTGTGTAAGTTTTTTTTTAATTCTTATGGTACCATTTATTTACCAAAAAATGATTATTAAGCCCACTATGAAAAAAAAAAAAAAAGCCCACTGTGACCATGAAGTGGTGAGTCTTCGGGTCTTAGACCAATTTTATGTTTGCTTTCTCAGATAGAATTTAGATTCAGTGCTCCACTTTTGAACGCAGTTGTTTTTCTTTGGTGTATATAGTAAAAACAACATTGAAAAGCTTTCTGTGAGATCTCCTGAAGGCTGTTCTATAAATATATTGTTGTCACTCAGGATGTTGGAGAGATACCTAGGTATTTTGCAAAGTATTAAGACATGAGTTGTGATGAATTCTTTTATTAATTCATAATTCTCTTAGTCACTCAGAGCCCCTTTGTCATAGCTTCTTCTATCTTAAAAGTTATAAAATGTCAAGATTATTCTTTGAAATAATTTTGCGAAGTTATCTATAAATTTTTTTTTTTTAAAGGTGAGGCAACCCTTGGTTGACCTCACAGATTGCAAGGACTTTGTCAGCTTACAATCCCTTATTTTTTTATTTTTTACACCTACAGCACCTGGTCTTCCTAAGTGGTCTTTCATCCAAGTACTAAGCAGGCCCGACCCTGGTTAGCTTCCGAGATCAGACGGGATCGGGCTTGTTCAGGGTAACATGGCCGTAGACTATAAAATCTTTTTTACTATAGACTTCAGATATAAAATATTGTTGCTAAATAGCATGAAGCTTTGAAGACATAGAAGTCTGTTTTGTTACTAGAATTTAGTAAATTTTCAGTTTTCAATAAGAAGAAACAGACAAGGAGGGCCAGCCTTAATGCTATGATACTCCTTTGTGAAATGATTTATATTTTTAAAGCTCTAAAAGTTGTCAAACATCCTTCTGATTACTGGTTTCCATTAACTGATAATGTTCTCTATCTTTCATTGTTCTTGAGTGTGCTGAGTTGCCATACACAATTGTTGAGTTACAATCTTTAGACATCACTGTATTGTTTCTGAGAGGAATAGACCTGAGATGTGCATATTTTTAAGGATTTAGGCAGCACTTGATACTAACCGAGCTATCTATATCCTAGCTTTGTGTCCAAGGCTTGTGATATGTTGTGATAGCTGGGTTTAAGAAGTGCAATATTAAAACAAAAGCCATGAGTCTTTTAAGCCCAGTGTGTAAAGTCACACTCTGAGTTATAACTCAGAGGCACAACTAGCTAGTCAGGAAATTGTGGCTTTAGTGATTATTGAAAGACCAATGCATTATTTCATTCACTTGGACAGAAACAGCATTGTCCAGAAAGTTAACAGATTTCCTTAATTCTTACACATACCATTTTCCCGCTTTATTTTCATGTTTGTGTAATTGAGAGGCTTTTAATAATGAATGTTAGATATTTAATTTGGAGGCCCCTTCTCTATTTCTCTCCCCTTAATTTCTGGCATGTCTTTGGAATCTTAGAATCATAGAAATTTGGTCAATGTTATTTTAGAACCTAGGAGCTGGTGGTCTTATACAGTATTTCCTTGAGACTAGCCTTGAGCACTATGGTTAACAAATTTAAGTTTATGAGGACATAGTCTGTGTGCATATAAATAGAAGTGAGAAATGTAGTGAGATTCAGCCTGCATAAATATTACCTAGAGAGAATAAGATGTTGAAATTTCAGAGCTCTCAATTCTAAAGGAATGTCTTATATTTAACCCAAGCCTTAAAACTTGGGTCTAAGAAGACATGGAGTTGATTGTCTTATTGAGCTGTCAGGTTATTATTAAGTTTCGGTGCTGCCTAGCATTACGAGCCTGGAATAAGGTCTGCCAGCAGCAGATGGGTACTGCTAGACAGCGTTTCCCAGAGATGACCCACATACCTATACTGGTCGAACTAATTAAGCCTTAAGGCTAAGCTTGAAAGAAACTGGGTAAGTTATTGTTTAAAGAAAAATTAAGAGTGTGACCCATAGTTCTTATTCACTTCTTAAAATATTCCTTTCCATACGGTGGTACAATTTTTCGATGGCAGATAGAGTGCAGAAAATATATAATGTAGTGGTTAAAAGGGCTTAGACTCTGAAGTCAGACCTGGATTTCTAATCTAGCTTATAAACATCTAGCTGTGTGAAAGTGAATATGTTAATTGATTTCATTATGCCTCAATTTTGTCATCTATAAAAATAGGAATAATAGTACCTACCCACCTCACAGAGTGGTCGTGAAGATGAAATGACAGCATAAAACTAATAGCACAGTGTGTGGCACGTAAGCGCTCAGCAGTTGTTACTGTTATCAGTGTATGAGGCATAGTTCTGGTTTTATAAGGGGAACACTAAAGCATGGGGGCAAATAATAGCCCACTGTGAGTTCAGTGACATAGCTAGAAATGAAATACAAGCCTCATGATGCCTAGCTTGGTACCATACTAGCTTGACTACTTCTCTACCCAGCTTTGTGCTGTTTTCTCTCAGGGGTTTTAGAAAGAGTATAATGGGAAATGTGAACTAGAGCTTTGAGACCTTATAAGGGTTTTTTTTTTTAAAGGAAAAACATCATATATTCGAATAAGGGTTATTCTTCAAAATAGTCATATTGTAGACTTTAAAAACTGGAAGAAGTGGTAGTAAAAATTCATGTAGAGTCCTTCATCTACGATAGCCCAGTCTACAACCAGTCTGTGGGCAGGCTTTACTGATCTAGGATTAAAAGAAAAATAAGGACAGTGTAGTGAGTTTTTCATAAAGCTAAATTCAGCTCAAAGAATGGTCCTTTATCCTTGCACTTCCTACTTATTTGCTGATAAAATGACCTTTTATAAAATGATTATGATGATACTAATTAGTGGCAGTTTGGCAAAATAGTAAGTTAACAATGCTGTCAGCCCCACAATTTTTTAATAGTAGTTGCTGGTCTGTGAAATCCCCTTCTCTGCTTTTATATCGGGGCATTACAGTAAGTTCTCACTTAACATTGTCTATAGGTTCTTGGAACTTTGGCAGAATGACATGTAATGAAACCAGTTTTACCATAGACTAATTGATATAAACAAGAGTTAAGTTCCTGTGGCATCTCATCACTGTTGTAACAGAATGATGTTGAATGAGATAACATTATTCGAGGCCCTGCTGTATAGTTTAATTTTTCCAGTACCACAGTTGTGGCTAGAAACATTTTGGAGCTCTTAGAATTGTTTCAGACCCATGGCATTATTGTTTAGAATATTAATATTGCAAGTCATTCTCACTTGAATTTAAATCCCAGATCTGCCACTTAACCAGTTGGGTTGCCTTAAATGAGTGATTTATCTCTCCCAATCTGTGTTCTTTAACAATATAAGTGATACTTGCTTCATAGAGTTGTTTTGAGGATTAGATGAAATAATGCTTAAAATGCCTAGCAATAATAGTTCTTCGATAAATGTTTATCTCCACACTTTCCTCCAAACCAGGAACTCTTTGCCCTATGAAGTAGTTCTTTATTGGACACAGCAAATACCCACTTAGAGTTAACTCTGATTTAGATTTAGAGGTTCATACAATGATGTATAATGTAATTCCGTTTCCTAAAAAGGGTTCCATGGGGCTATGATGACATGATAGAATATAAATATGTGTTTATACCTCTTTCCTTTCCTAACCAATTGATAATCTTCCTTTGTATATTTTCCGAAAAGCAGCCATTACTTTATAGATAAGCTTTGTGTTCTTGTTGCCTGCTTGATCTAAAATTAAGATCTAGTAAAATTTCCAATGGACAGAAACATTTTGCAGGCCACTTTCATCTAATAGAATTAGGACAAATTTTTTTTATATGAACACTAGACATTTGACCACTATATTTGGAGAGATTGATTGCCATCTACTCCTCAAAATGTTAGTAAATTATTCTGAGCTCTTTATCTTGAAGAATAATAGGAAATAATTTTTTTTTTTTTACCATGGGAAAGAATTTTGTCTACTCAGATCCTCTACTTATTTGATTGGAAGAATTTTTGCTAAACCCTGTTGAAACAAGATTTAAGTAATATTTAATTTAATATTTATTTAGAAACTGATTATTGATGAGAAGAAGTATTACTTATTTGGGAGAAACCCTGATTTGTGTGACTTTACCATTGACCACCAGTCTTGCTCTCGGGTCCACGCTGCCTTGGTCTACCACAAGCATCTGAAGAGAGTTTTCCTAATAGATCTCAACAGTAGTAAGTAACTCACATCTCATCCCGCCTCACATATTCCTTTTTGGGCAATGTGAAATGCTCTTTGGGTCCTTCAGTTTCAAAGTCATGTTTTATTGCTCATCGAGGAAGACTTTTATATTTGGTTTTTAAATCAGCCCGTCTCTACTTCTATTTTTCTGAAATAATTGATGACTGGAGAGAATAGGATTTGGGGGAACATTGTCCTGGAGGAGGCAATAGGTAGATACAGAGGACAAAAAAAAAGTACCCAGGAGCTAGGGACTATGGGTATCTAAATGTTTATAGGACCATGATAAATTATGATTCAATTTAAGCAGAAGCTATGATTAGCTCCATTAATGTAGTAGAGTAGTGGCATAGGACATTTAAAAAAATACTTATTTTGAGTAAAATTTAATTTTTTAATAGTGGTTCTTTAAAGCAACATTTTGCTTTGACTGCTAATAATATCAATTTTAATTTTATGAACACACTCCAACTAATAAGATTTTCAACTTTGCCAAAGATAATCCCAGAAATGCAATCGAGACTTAACCTCATGGAGCCCTGAAGTTTGTTCATTTTTCCCATGTATAAATACAGTGTAAAATGTAAAGGATCCTGCTTCCTGGGCTGACCATGTTCTACTCCTTGCCCCCTTCCCCAACACACACACACACACACACACACACCCCAATCTGCTTATATAATGGTTTTGGAGAGCCTTGTCTCACAAGTACTTACTTGCAAATTTTTCTCATCTTTTCTCTCCATTTTGTAACATGCAGAATGCAGACATGGAAAACTATTCAGACTCTCCAGTAGGATTTTGGCTTGCCTTAGCATTGATATTGCACCTGTTTCAGCCAGCCTCCTTTCTTGTCCTGGGGAAAACCCAAGCATAACTGCCACCGGGGCCTATGTTCCTTAGACTTGGGGCTGGTGAGGTCAGACCTCAGCAATGCCTTTCTCCTGCCTTGGGGGTCATGGTTATTGTTGGGTTGGAACCATTCCTGCGGGACCCAGAATGGAACCAAGCCTGTCTGGCAGCAGAGAACAAACAGTGGTGTTTGTTATGTGGGGTAACAGCGGGTCTGAAGATGTGTAAGAAATCCACTGAAGAGATTCAAGACCCAGTGAAGGAGTTTTCCTTTTCATTGTGACCCATGACAAGGGATGCAAAGTGGACCCAGTGTCATTTTCATTTTAAAAAGCAGAACTGATATGCTGGGAGGAGCTGCTCTCCCTTCTACAACTCAGGTTGGTTTTTTTTTTCTCTCTTACACGTCTGATTTGGTTATTCCCAGCACACGGCACTTTCTTGGGTCACATTCGGTTGGAACCTCACAAGCCTCAGCAAATTCCCATCGATTCCACAGTCTCATTTGGCGCATCCACAAGGGCATACACTCTACGTGAGAAGCCTCAGACATTGCCCTCGGCTGTGAAAGGAGATGAGAAGATGGGTGGAGAGGATGATGAACTCAAGGGCTTACTAGGGCTTCCAGAGGAGGAAACCGAGCTTGATGTAATTCCACGTCTATCTCATTATTTTGTCTTTTGGGACTCTGGTTTTTGCAGTATGTATCTGTTCTGTATATCTTGGAATGTCATTGACTTAGCAGCAGGAGATTTTCTTGAGCCCAGTGACAGGTCTTTGCCACTTAAGCAGTATAGTGTGGCCAGCTGTGACATACTTTGAAGAGCTGCTTTGTGTGGATTTGGTTACGTATGACCAGGGGTAACAAGGAGACTGGGTCTCCTGCCCATAGACTCTCGTGATCATCTTGTATACCTTCACTGGATGTTAGAAACCAAGGCTGGGAGCTAAATTTTTCTACAGCTGCAGTCTTCAGTGTGGTAGCTACTAACCACATTTTAAGTACTCAGTAGCCACAGGTGGCTAGTGATTTCCATGATGAATAGCACGGATAGAGAAATCATTCAGAAAGTTTGATTGGACAGCACTGGCTTAGACTGAAGTTTTCATTCATTTGCATTGCTTTTTTTGATATCGTCTAAATACCCAGGAATCTTCTGAGTAAAACTTTTACAATATTTAATTTTAAAGTGCTAGTTTTCATTTTCTGAGTAAAAATTTTACAATATTTAATTTTAAAGTGCTAGTTTTCATTTTCTAGAGGCTGCAGTAGTTTTTGATGTGGTTGTCATTCTTTACATGTCTGCCCCCTGCACTGGGGTGTCTGGTCTATTCAGGTAGACCACATGCAGGCATGTCCTTAATCACCCACATGCATTTACTATTCTAGTACCCCAAGGCAATTTCCCAGTCTTTAGGAAGAAAAGTACCATGGATATCTTGTAATTTAGAAGTTATTTCCTTCTAAAGAAGTAGCCTCATAGCCAGAGGCTTGATGGTAATCACTCTTGCTTCTTCCATGCTTCTCTGTCTTTAAAATTCAGTATGTTAGGTCCTCCCTGGGTCTTCATTTTCAAGACATTTGGAATATCTCAAACTGCAATGCAGGTTGGAATCCAGAGGATCGGGAAGAGGCGGCAGTGCTGAGGCCACCTTAATCATTGAGATGGGTGGATGGTTATGAATAGAAATGGAGCCATATGCAGGGATTCAGAGTGACAAAATATTAATGCCAAATGTTAAGTGCACTGGCAGTGTCTTTTTGAGTTTTAAAGGAGAGAGCTACTGGGAAAGAAGCTGTTAATTGTCCTTTCTCAACTCTGTTCTCTTACTTTAAAAACAATTGGAGTTCCTTACAGTCACATTCCTTTAATTCTCAGCATTAAGACAATAATCTTTCTTAAAAACAAACAACCTAAAACCTAAATTCAAGGATGTTTGTACATATGACCTGTTTTCAGCTCCAGGTCCTTCACCTCCTTTTGAATATCACTGCCCCAGTAGTCAAAGAGGGTGTTCCACATTCTATTAAAGGTGACTTGCTGATATTAGCAATCTAGGGACAGTGATGGATCTTTTATGAATACAAAAGAGAATCCTAGGGAGGTCAAGGTTAGTCCTTAATGCTTTCTTCTTTATTTAGTAATATATTCTCCTTCAAATTCTCTCTGTATTGACTCCTGTCTTTCCTCTGTGAACCCTGGCATAGAACCTGACAGAGTTCAACACTGCCCACAACAAGCGGATTTCCACCCTCACCATCGAGGAGGGGAATCTGGATATTCAAAGACCAAAGAGGAAGAGGAAGAACTCACGGGTGACTTTCAGTGAGGATGATGAAATCATCAACCCAGGTGAGGTATCTTCCTAGTTTCTTCTGATGAAAAAGCTGTCATCTCAGAGAGTAGTGTACAGAACTTATAGGGCAGTCGTAATGTTTCTCAACAAAGTTTAAGATAACAGGCGCTATGTTAAGGGGAGATATTTTTTTACAGTTCATTGGTGGAGTACCCTCCACACTCAAGCATTATCCAGTTGCAATGCGAAAGAAATAGCTAAAGGAAATACCCATATATTTCACTATAAGAGCAATGATATCATTCTCCTCTGCTGATCCAGTATATCTTTGTCATAGTGGAGGTTTAAATTAAGTATACGTGTTTACTGTCTTTACCTCTAGACAGAACATTATTGTCTTTATGGGGTCCTGAGTGTGATTGGTAATTCTAAGATTGGAGAACTTTCTACTGCCATTTTTAACCACATCGAAGACTTGCCTCTCTGTAAGGAAGTAATTTATAGGTGGTTTGTATAGAAATGTCAGCAAGATGAGAGCGTCAGTTTATGGGAAAGCCACTAAGTTTATCATTTTGTTCCATCATTCAACATTTATTTATCGGGCTCATGTTATCTCAAGGACTCTGGTAGATGGATGACATAGAGCTGGGAGGTATAGTTTATATAGCAGTCCAAAGCACAGGCCTATTTCTGGCGCCTTGGATTCAAGTCCTGGCTCCTCTTCTCTCCAGTAGGGTGACTGGCCGAGCCATTTTCCTTTTCTAAGCCTGAGTTTATTTTCTTGTCTATTAAATGTTTATTGTAGAAATTTAACTTTAGGTGGTGAATGCATAATGCAATATACGTATAACGAACATATTATTGAATTGTACACTTGAAACCTATATAATTTTATTAACCAGTGTCACCCAAATAAATTTAATTTAAAAAATGTTGATTGTAGTAATACTTACCTGCTAGGCTTTGGGTTTTTTTTTAAAACCAAAAAAAGAGAGAGGGGGTGTGACCTTAGAATTTAACACAATCCCCAGCATACAATAAACACTCAAAATGTTAGCTATATTTTACTGTTTTAATATAAGCTGTGATTGCTTTGATCTCAGTGAGCCCTATACCCCTAATCCTCCCAGTAGAGTACCAGACTTACCCTTCCCTCATGTCTTTTTGCAGAGGACGTCGATCCCTCAGTTGGACGCTTCCGGAACATGGTACAGACTGCAGTGGTCCCAGTCAAGGTAGGAAGCACATTGTAACAATATTTGAAATGCCATACAGTCTGGTTTAAAAATCCACTCTTTTATTTTAGGCAAGTGTTAAGTGTGTGCTTAATTTTAAAACACATTCTTTGGTCCTCTCCCATTTTTCATCCTATGGAAATACTTTTATTCCATCTATGTCTAGGGGATCCTGGAGGGCCATAGAAAGGCTGCAGGTGACCAGCCAGCTTGATGCTGCATGTAAATTGTGGTGCTATGTGAGTCTGTAAATTTACTTCCTAGCAACGTTCAGGAAGGCCCATATTTTTTTAGCCTTTTCCTTCTGACTCAGAGTAAACTATCAGTTGAGGAAGAGACGTTGTATTTCCGCATGGCACCTCTGGCTTTAGCTGTGCTTTTATTTTGTGAATAGGAATGGCACAGATAGGAGAGCCAGCCCAGGCCTGGGTTAGGTTTAAAGATAGGATAGGTATGTTGAAGAACCAAGAGGTGGGCGTTACAGAAATGTTCTGATTGCTCAACCTGTGGAGGAACTACCTGACAGCTAGGACTGTCCAAAGGGAATAAACAGCCCCTTGAAGGAGTGAGATCCCTGAAAACGGAAGTATTCAAGAAGTGATTGGGAGATGCTTTTTCAGATATGCTATGGAGTTTTATTTTTAAAAAATTTTTAGGATATATTAGACTAGATTGATAAGAGGTAGCAAATTCCTGGTTATTCTTCATTTAATCCAAAAGGAGTAGAGAAGTGAGAGAGATCTTTCATGAACTTTCTTTAGTGTGACAAGTACCAAGTGAAAGTTTTCTGTGCAACTTCATAGTGTTCATGTCACATTTCTCTTCGAGCTCTTTTCCATCTTTGGAAATGTTCTGTTGTCATTATACAAAACCAGCAGGTATTTTTACTTTTATGTTGGTTTTATTGTGGTATAATTTGTGTACAGTAAAATGCACATATTTTAAGTATACTATTAGCGTTTTGACACATTTGTACATCTGGGCCACCACCACCATACTCAATATAAAGATTTCCATCACCCAAGTAAGTTCCTTTATGTCCCTTTGCTGTCAGTTCCCTCTCACTCCTAGCCCCAGGCAACCAGTAAACTGCTTTCAGTCACTACAGATTTGCTTTGCTCTCAGATTGTTTCAAAATTGGTGCCCAACATGACAATACTTCTTATTCCCCCCCCAAAAAAGAAAAAATTAAATACCTAGATGGTAGTAATACCATCTGTTATCACCTCTGTTTTCTAAAAGGGCATTTTAACAACAACAACAAAAAAGAGGGAGGGATATTACCTTCGATTAAAGAATAGTCACTTAAACTGGATAAGTTTTCCTTTATGAAAAACTCACACACTCCTCATTTCTCGGTGTAGCGTAAGATGGTGAATACTTGGTTTGGAGCCATCATGTTGGGTGACAACTGTAAAGTCTCTCCAAACCCTGAGATTTCAGGATAGCGAAATAGGTTTTCTGGGGAACAAAACAAGCTAGCGGTTTAGGCACCTTCCCATTTTTCTAGGGCTGGAATAGAAAAGGCTAAGTAGCACCACTCTGGTGCCTTACTCTTGTCTCCTTTGTTCCTTGTAAACACAGAAGAAGCGAGTGGAGGGCCCTGGCTCCCTGGGCCTGGAAGAATCAGGGAGCAGGCGCATGCAGAACTTTGCATTCAGTGGAGGACTCTACGGGGGCCTGCCCCCTACGCACAGTGAAGCCGGCTCCCAGCCGCACGGCATCCACGGGACAGCACTCATCGGTGGTTTGCCCATGCCATACCCGAACCTCGCCCCTGATGTGGACTTGACTCCTGTTGTGCCATCAGCAGTGAACATGAATCCTGCACCAAATCCTGCAGTCTACAACCCTGAAGCTGTCAACGAACCCAAGAAGAAGAAATATGCAAAAGAAGCTTGGCCGGGCAAGAAGCCCACACCTTCCTTACTGATTTGATATTTTTGGTCATAGAGAAGGGAGGGTTTGGGTGGGAACTGGGTGGAAGGGTGATGGGGGAGCTAATGAACTAGGGAGAAAAAATTTCCATGTGTGCAGTATCATCTTTCAGAATGTCTCCTGGGGTCCTAACCATGTGATGTTAAAGTGGGGGGTGGTTGAAATATCCCATAAAGACCTGTCTTCAGAACACTTTCAGTATAGAGAAATGTTTTATATATCCTTTTAAATAGGCTGCCCTGGCTCTTTCCCAGGCCTTCCATTACCTCCTTTTTCTTTTCTCCTTCTTTCTAGGATCATTTTTATTTAAAGTCATGTACCCCGGGGAGAGACTTCTGGCCCTCAGGTTGAATCCAGAGCTGAGAAGTGACAATTACATCACCAGCCTTGTGGGCTCAGCAGCCTAATTTATATTTACTATCCTCACAAGTTCCAGATAGCAAGAGGGTTGCCACACATCTGAGGTTGATAAAAAAGAGGGTTTAGAATTCTTCAGTTAAGCTAAGGTTTCAGCTCAAAAATGTTTTCCTCAGTCAATGGTTTTGAGGTCCAATAGTTAGGCTTTTCTCTTTTGTCCTTTCTGTTGGAATGAGAACATTTTGATTTTTGTCTGTGACCAGTGCCATAGACACAGATTGATAGTTTTAAGCTTACTACTTTGTTTGAACTTTACCTGTTTTTCTTGTCAAACCTGAGTACTCTACTTGCTGAAGTTTCTCATTTGATGCCAGAGTACCGTCCTCTACTCTCTAAGGCTTTACTTTCCTTTCAAGGTGTGTTATGAAGGCAACTTTTAAAGGATATGACCAATTAGAGCAATTCCCATTAAAAAGGAAAAGATTTTTACTTTGCAAGTAACTGACATCTCTAAGAGGGCATGTTTAGATGGTTGTTCGGAGGCTCTTTCCCCCCTTGACTGAGAGCTCTCATTATCCAGAGCTCCAAGACAAGACCTGGCTAATGTAGGAGATGAAGGTAGGAAACGATAGGAGCTTTGTACAGAGATTTGTACATTTGTGTAATAGGCCTTTTCACGCTTTATGTGTAGCTTTTTACCTGTAACCTTTATTACATTGTAAATTAAACGTAACTTTTGTCATTTGGGTGCAGTTGTGATTCAGTCGCCGTCACTGATTCCCACTGCCATTAGGGAATGTTTGTCAAAGGTACAGCTGTTGGGCTTGGGAGGTGATGCTCTCTATTCTATTACCACAAATAAAAGATGCCCCTTGACGAAGGCGGAATTCTAACTAGAGATTCTAATCCCCAGACTGAAGCCTCGCCGAGCAGAGTGGGTTAAGAGGTGCCTGCTGCCCTTCATCAGGAGACAGAACCCCAGACCTGACAGGGGAGACTGGGCTTTGGGCACTTGTCCTGGGGTGGATGTGATTTAAACCTGATCACCCACTCTCTGGTTATAGCTGCATGCATTTGAGCTATAGCTCAGGTGGCACAGGACCAAAAGGAAGCTAAAATTGAGTAAGTTTAGAAGGAGTTTCAACCAGGGTTTGGACTGAATGGATGTCTTCCATACTGGAACCTCGTTGCAGGAAGTGCACTTAGTGTGTTGTGAGAAATACATATGCGGCTTTGTGATGAAGATGCCAGCTAGGTTCCAGATCCCTTGGGTTGAGCGTGGACTACTGTCAGAAGCAGCCTGATAAAGAGCAGAGGTCCATAAAATCACAGCTATACAAGAAGCTGACTTCTTCATCAGCCATTGTGGAAACGACTGTCTTCATATTAGGAGGGTACCTTCCTCTCATAGTGAAGGTTACTGTCAGTCACTCATTTAGCATCCACCTACCCTGCAAACCATCTACAGCATGTCATTTAATTCACATAGCCCTAAAGGAATACTGTTTTTATACCCGTTTTATAAATAAGAATACAGGCTCAGAGACAAAATAAACTTCCCTATGATCCCACTGTTGTGAAGTCAGAATTGAGACTCTAGTCTGAATGCAGAGCACAGGTTTACATAGCCTCCAGAAGGAGTTTAGGTGAAGGATGTGCGTGGCCCACCGATGGCATATTGTGCTCAGTAGGCTGCAGCTATATTGATTTATGGGCATTTGTTTTGAAGTTAAAATTTTTTTCCAAGCTGGACAACTTCCCGGAAGATATATTAAAGGATTTTGATTAGTTTAGATAATTAAATCCTTTCTGGTGAGAGATTATGGCCTGCACTGTTGGTTCCAGCATTTGAGTTGCAGAGTGAAACTTGCATTGGTGTCCCAAAGAAGGCTCAACAGAATATCCAAGCCTGCAAAGCTATAATATATATATATATATATATAAAAAAACTCCCTTCGAGAGCCCAGTTGCCTTTTTTGGAAGCAGGAGTACCTGAATTTGGTAGTTGGATGACGTAAGGAGGCATGTATGTGTGGAAA